AATTATTTATGACGTCTTGTTGATACCATCCTACACTAGTCAGTTACGCTTTTCATTGTTCTCTCTCTACACTACTTACCGACTTATCCTCTTTTTCTTCCTTGTTCTTGAAATATTAAGTTGTACCTTGACGGTTTTCTTACTTTTGCATTAAATAGACATATTTTTCGTCGTATAAAGTATACCAAAATTTACAATCTTACAATGAAATGATTATTAACTTTTTGGAGTTGACAGTGAGTCTATTAAATCCACTCAATTATATCCCTTTGGAGTTGAAGGTGATCCATTGGACTTACTTAATTATATTCTTTATGTCACATTTACAAATGTGAATAATTATTAAAATAAACTTGACATTTATTAATTTTTATACGAGTTATATCATTTTTTAAAAATTAATTAATGTCTTTTAATCAACATAAATTAAATAGGTTTTGCAGGCCTAGCGTCAATATAATTATATATTACAGATTTTGATGTTAGCTTCGAAGGATTAACATGTCATATTTTATATATCTTAAAAATATATATCTTAAAAATATATGGAATAATGACAGAATTATAATTTATCCGAAAACCAGCTATTAATATAAACGAAAACCAGCTATTTGCAATTCTTTATTTGAAAAATGTTTTTTTATAAAAGATGTCACAAGCAACCAAGTTCGTATTCTCTGCGGGACGTTAACGGTGTCGTAACTCGGATCAGAAGTTAGATCTACGGCCGAATTATGAGAAGATGTATGTCCTCTCGGACACCAATAGAGTTCGAAGAGGATCGCGCGAGAGACGATCGGATCTGCAACCCGTCGAAGCCTGCAAGCCGCAAGCAATTAATTCATAAGCGTACGCTCGACACAATGGTGAACTATGGTAGTACATATCCGTCTCTTCGCGCAACAATGCCACGCGAGCATCCGCACGTTGCACGAATAGTATCAAGATTTGAATGAGCCAATACAATGATAAAGGACCTGAATCCCTAGGAGGCGAAAGGTATTACCACACGGGAATACACGTCTCCGTGATTGTCTCGTTGATATGTTAATTAATGTTATTGATGTTAAGCAAGACTGCTCCGAGTACTCAATATGACTATCTATTAATCCTGTCGATGCAGAATCGAGGTTGCGTTAACCGATTGTTTCGACAGTCAAATTGCATTATCCGGCAAAATGCATTGATACGCACTGCACCAAATCTCCATGTCTGATAACAGATTTTCGTATGAAAATGGTTGGGTAATTGATTCAATTTTTAATTATCGCAGATCCTTCTAGCGACACCAGCAAATTGTTAAATGTCAACCTGTCAATCTCTTTGCAATTATCGTATATATTTTAACAGTATAACGATAATTTTTAAATTTTTTTCTATTTATGTTGTTAGCATAGATAGAAAATTAAAGTCTGCTATTCAGCATTATTATAAAATATTAGATATTCGCATATGCGAAGGATTTTTTTTTAGAGAGGGAGGCCAAATTTTAGAATTTGGAAATTTTAGAATTGAGACTTTTGAATCCTAGAAGGTAAAGTAGTCGATTATTGAATAATTGGATTTGTTTTATGTTTTACATTATTATTTTTAATTGATAATTAAAAGCCTATATCGGTCGAAGCTAGATCTTTAATGCTTTAAATAATTCAATGTGAATTATATATATATTATATATATATATATATATATATGTGTGTGTGTGTATATATATACACTATATACATACAATGTATATGTGCATATATACCATATTTATAGTTATTCGAATTGCACGTCGAATTGGTTTTTCGGATTAATATTTTTCCGGGTAATATTTTTACATTTAAATGTTTAACATTTACTAAAATAATATTCTTATTATATGTTATTATTTTTCATTAATTACTAGCTAGTAAAAATCGCAATATTACATATATTTAATTTACTAATTTTCTTTTACTTTATTTTTCTTTGAAAATTGTACTGTGATTCTTCGAACTGGAAAAACTTAAATTTATAACACTAATCGTCTTGGATTCTCAAAAAATGTTTCTATAACTTTTATTTCCAATTCTTTCTTCTTTTTCATAATTAATTTCTTGTGAATACTCATTAAGCGTAGCCCGTTTATGCAATTTTAATTGTTTTTGTTCTTTAAGTTTTAGAAAAGGTCACAGCTCTCGCTCCCTTTTTGGCCCATGAACGTAGGATCTAGTAAACACTAACTAACAGTAATATAATGCGCGTCAGTATAATAATTCCCTGCTCAACAGTGTAATTATTACCAATACGTGTATTATATTACATTTATTATTGAGTGGAAAATTTTATAATAATATTGATGTTACTGTTAGTATTTAGGGATATATATATATTAGGTGTTGGAATTAATTCGTAGCGTTTTACAAGTGATGGGAAGTACTTTCATTAATGTATTTTTTAATGCTCATGTGAAATAAATAACATTCTTTCATTTAAAAACGCTACGAATTAATTCCAACACCTAATATATATATATATATATTAGGTGTTGGAATTAATTCGTAGCGTTTTACAAGTGATGGGAAGTACTTTCATTAATGTATTTTTTAATGCTCATGTGAAATAAATAACATTCTTTCATTTAAAAACGCTACGAATTAATTCCAACACCTAATATATATATATATATATTAGGTGTTGGAATTAATTCGTAGCGTTTTTTAATGAAAGAATGTTATTTATTTCACATGAGCATTAAAAAATACATTAATGAAAGTACTTCCCATCACTTGTAAAACGCTACGAATTAATTCCAACACCTAATATATATATATATATATATATATATATATATTCTATGTACCCTCCCTGGTGGAGGCTCATCGCCGTCGCAAAAATCTCTGAAATCTCGATAAGTAATAATTAACCAAGCGTAGCATAGCACATTTCCCGGTTTCCCTCTTACGAAGGTGAGCCGAGATGGCAAGTCTGATTGAATCACCATGATTCCCTCGTTGCATAACACGCGTTGCGTAACCACCCGATTCCATCCCGATTTCATCCACCCCTCATGGATTCTCTCATTTCATCCCTACTCTGAGAATCCTAGCCAACGACGCCTCGGGAAAACGAATCCTTTGAAGTCCCCCGTAATCGAAGAAGTAATTTCAGCGCGACCCTCGCTGGCAATCGTTTTTCCCCGGTCGCTTAGAATCGCGCATCTACCCTACGAAATGTTATTATCAGGAGCGCCCCGTCCTTGATAAAGACAATTAGCAGCATAATTCACGCAACAACTTTGTGAGTGAATTAAATAGAAAAAAAAAAGATAAAATTACGTATTTGTATGTACATTTAATAACAATTTATGTATTTATATTAAAAATATGTAATTTATTATCCATTAGTTTTTCTAAAAGTTTTACACGTATTAATATAATATAAATGTGTATATATATTCCTATATTAGAAAAAAAAGTCTGCAAATTGCAACAGCTATCATAATTTTACTCGAAATAACCAGAATTCTATTTGATATGATTAGAATCTTCTGATTCGTTCATTTTTAACCATAAATTTTTCTCAGTGTAATTATATTATTTTTGGGAACTTCTGGTTTTTGTGAATATTATAAAGCATTTATAAATAAAGGAATCTTAATATAAAAAAGAAAATTAATATAAAATATATTTTTGTACTAAATAAAGTTTTAATATTTATTTCATGTTAATGAACGTATGTGTAGCAATTTTAATCGTAAAGGAGAAAAGAGAGTCACACAAAATTCTTCAAAATTGTCATGTTGTCCCACAATTTCCATGATTTTCAAGGAAATTTTAGAGTAAATTTTAAGAGAAAATTCTCTCTGTGTGGGAGTTTACTTTGTTGTAATTTCTAAAGACTTCTTAACATAAGTTGCAATCGTACAACGTAATTCGCAAATGCAGCAGCAATCAGAAGAAGTCAATACCAAAGTACTCCATTGACGCTTCTAATTAATTATCGTGTTCGCAAATTACATTTTATAATTGCGACTTATATAGAGAAGCCTTTAGAAATTACACAACTAACTTCTCATCAAGTAGCAAACCAATCAAAATGATAACAAATAATGTAAGCTTGCTACTTAATTTGTCACCTGATTGTGTTTAACTTTTTGTCTTCACTTAAAATATTCCTTAATTAAGACATAATATTGAGTCAATTCTACTTAAATAAAAGTGGACATATTCTTATCAATGCCATTTACACTCTTCTTCTCTGATTTCCTCTATCTTCTCATATTGCGAATTCGCCGTTAAAATTAACATCGACATTTTCTCGGACGAAACCTAAATTCAATTTTACTTTACAAATCTAATTTAAGCAAAGTGAAACTCGTACTGTAGGGGCGAAACTTAGTTAACATTAAACTTCGCACACATATTGGATTCAAAATACGATTCCTATCAAATTCAATCTGGAATAGCAAGTACAAATCTTAACTATAGGAGAATAAAATCAAATTCGCGGCACGTAAACCGAAGTTGAGCGTAGATGCCACTTCGTAAAGTAAACGATGTCAAAATTAAAGGCTTTCCCTTTCTTGCTGCAAGAGACTGAGAATTACGCTTCTTTCCGAGATTAACAAAACAAAATTTTAATACGTAATTGTAAATAAATGCAAAGTCCACGAATGAATATGCGAATAAAAACAAATGTTACCCTGACGAAGGCGATGCCCTCGGAAGTAATTTGAATATTCCGGACTCAGAGGTAACAGTGAAAAATTCTTACCCGCGATTTCACAGTAAAATATGCATCTTTTCTAAAAAAAAAAAAAAAAAACTTCGCGAGACAAAATTCAACTCGTTGCAACGCTTAGCGAGAAAAATTCCACTACTTGGAGCGAGTCAGAAACTCGTAAATGTGATGGGGTAGTCGGTTCGAAAATTGCCGAAATTAATTAACGAGTGGCAGGAAAGGGAGCGGCAGGATCAGTGTGTACGCTCAGAGCTAATAGACAGCTACTGAGAGGTCTCGTCTTTTTGTTATAGGTGCGAGGGCGGCTGGCTTCAACTCGAGGGCAGTGCTCGCGTTTGTGGTCGGAACCAACGCTTCGACCGACCAGTCGTTCTCTTCTCGGACAAGCCGATCGCAACTCTACATATGCAGTAAGTACAGTACTTTCATCGCTTAATTTCCATCAGTGAACGCTTTTTGTATTGCCACTTTGTTAAGTTAAAAGCAATAAATTCTTCACTCGAGCAAACCGCCCCAAATTATCATTAATTACTCTTTGCATTATAAAATATCTCATCAGGAGAATTTTCTGCTTTATATATAAAATTTGAAACATCAAAGCATTTATTATGGCACTTTAATGTTTCAAGTAACATCATAAATAGACTAACTTTAAATATATGATCTATTTGCGCCGAGAAGGTCCGTTAAAATTTTTCTCTTTAGTTTCTAGAAATATAAGATTTTAGAACGTTCGAGTCGATAATTGTTCTCTAAAAAATAAAAGAGGAATCAGTAAAATCTTTCTCTCAGAATGAAAGTAGATACGTATCTACATCGACACGTATCTATTTTCATTCTGAGAGAAAGATTTTACTGATTTCTCTTTTATTTTTTAGAGAACAATTATGTCTTAAATGAATAGTGAGTGCGTAAAGTCAATTTAATGTCACTTTTATATATACATGCGAATTTTATTTTGATAATGTTATGCGCTACTTTTATATGGGAAGAACTTTTATAGCAGAAGAATAAATAGAATTCCAACGGCATTACGAAATAGAAACACGTCCTGAGCTTCTTACTACAAGTCGTTGTTATTTAAGTTACTGGAACAAGTAACGCTCATATATCGAATTTTACTCTTAAATACCATTAGACAGTGATATCCAAAAGATTGAATTCGCGTTTTCGAATCCCCAATGTTTGCAAAAGTTTCTCGCTCTGCAAGTATCGTAATAAATCAGATTTCGATAACTTGGAGAAGAAGCAAAGCTCGGAACGAGGCAGTATATATTTACACGATTCGCACCTTATAAGAAGCGATTTTCATTATCAAGTAGCTTTCTCTCGCTTCATCCATCGTTTGTACTTGAACATCAGCTCCTGAGAAAAGTTTAATTTAAATGCAAATTGATTTACCTTTGATAAAGTGAAATGGGGTTTCCTCTGTTTACTGCAAAGGTGAGAATTATTTTTTAAATTAACTTTCTTGACGACGGCGCCCACCATGTAACCGTATTTAATTACGTTGAAACTACTGTAGAGAAGTAATAATATGAAATTAATAGCTATTCATGATCAATGTGCCCTGGAACGTTACGAGCGTCAATTGAAATGGAATGCAAATTAATTATTACGTTTGATGAAACGTATCGATTTATTTATTTAATAGATGTAATCTTGTGAAAGACGTCAACATTTTATGATTTTGTACGTTTGCAACGTCGTAATTTAGGATTAATTTCTGCATCAATTATTATGTTTTTTTCATATTTATTGCTGATAATCAAATATAATTGAAATTATAGTAACTGGCAATTAATGCGAACGATCTGTAAAATTTTCATCCGCTTCGCAGTCGAGGTGAATTATTATGGCTGTCGTCTGAGAGAAAAATCTGAATAATTGATTGGTACATATTGTTGGGCCTCACGGGACTCGGTAAATGGTGAAAAAGTTGCAAATTCGTCCGTAGGTAAATTCCCACGTGGCTCTCCACGCGGTACCTCCATTATTTATGTTTCTTAATTGGCGCGTCCAGAAAAAGCAAATTTTCTATCCGACAACGAGAAGCTTCGTTACGGACTACTCATTAAATATTTATGGCGAAATCAGTGTCTGCGATATCAGCGCGTCAACTAAAGTCTGTGTATACATAAAACATCAGCAGTTTGCTACGCAACTCGTTTCTTTGATCGTGGCGCAAGATTCTAAAGATGTTTCCGCGATGGTTTTGATGATCCATTCAAACTTCTAAAGAGTTTACGTAAACATTCAAATTTGCAAGTATCACGCGAAACCCATATTTGTTAATTATATAGAATTCTTTGAAATTTGCAGTTAATTTTCAATATTTTCACCATCTATCGAACACAAATTGAAAATCGAGAATTCGCAAGAGTAACGTGGCGTACAATTTAATTCTACTAGCTCATTCCTAGAAGTAATTTCAATATGATGTTCAATATGATCGTTCAATAAATTTGTGGAAATCGCACTTGATTTCTATCGCAAATTATTTCCATAAATTATATGCGAACGAAACAACCGTACGTAAGATAATAATTGTATCAAATAGCATCAAAGTAAAACTCGATGAGCGTAAAATTGATCGACGAATTTGCGTGCTAATCCAAAGTAAAATATTTTGCAAAGAGAAGCATAATTTCTTTTTTAACTAGCAAGAAGAATATTTTTAAAGAACATTTATAATCTTCTTTTTACGTATACTTTATATATCCAATTAATGAAGCTTTAATTTGCTAGACAATTGATAACAATTCTAATTCTGATAGTCTTGAGCATTACGTGAGGAAATATGATTGTTTATATAAAATTTGTTAACAATAGAAGAATAAAAGACTTTAGAAGAAGTCACTGTTAAAAGTATTTCTAATCCGGAAATGTCTCTCGCGTTATTACTCGGCACTTTCTCAGCGAAAACTCCGAAACGCGGTTTGGTCGGTATGAAATTTATATAAGTTGGGAAGTTGAGTGTAATGTGGCAAACCCGTCGCACGCGACTGGCATAAATGTGTCAGGAATGATTTATGGCGTTTAACTTCCACTCTCGTCCACGGCAACTTCTTATATGAAAATATCTAGGAAACAAATGACAACCTATGAGTCGTGATGAGCGAAATTTATTTCAATAGGAAATTGAACTAGATATATTTATACACTCATCGAGAAAAGAGAGAAACATTAGAATAATATTTTGTCGAATAAGTATAAAATTTACTTTTATTCTCACAGATTTTCTTTTTTTCAAGAAAACGAAAATTATAACAGTCGGAATTTCAAAATTATCTTGTAAATGAATGGAAAAGAAACGAGGAAAAACGAAGTTTACACGGACGAGTAAACGTAGGTGGTGATATAAAATTGCATGACAAATTTTTCATGAATTTCTGGCTAAAAGTTTCCTAGTGTCACTTAATTGGTTAAATTAAAAAGCCGCGATGAAAATTCCGTCGGGTGGAATCTCAAAAGTACGCAATACATGCGAAACGTTGCGTAATATTTTTCAGCATCGCCTGTAAAGTAACGTATCCAGTCGAATTCGAGGCAATAATCGGATTCCCATGAAATTTCAACGCGCTCATTTCCATAACTACGTCCTTTTATGTCACCGTGAAACATTGAAATGGACTGAATTATTCAACCGATAATACGCGGCTCATACGTGGAATACGGACGGAAACTTTGTCTGTTATGTTTCAACATATTGCATAATGCACTTTAAACTACGGCCATTGTTCACGCGGGATATAAACCGTAAAAGGTCAATATACGATCTCGGTTTATCACGAAACGGGAATGCTTTCGAGAGAAGTATGAGAGATACTCGTTTGCCTCGCTTATATTTTTCTTCTACCAATATGTCAGATTTATTTGAAAATCTCTTTTTTTTCAAGAATGGAATATCAAATAAAAATAGCGAAATATGCAATAAAAATATCGAACAAAATAACTATCCACGTTTGAACGTTTATAGTGCAGGTTAAACTCAGTTTCATGTTTCACTAAAAAAAATTTTTTTATGAAATCGGTTGCAAATTTACATTATTATTGCTCTCTTGTTTTATTGTCCATTATTAATTTCGATTTATATAATCAACTTTGCGTGAGAATTTTTATAAACTATTTGCACATTGTTTTAATGTTTCAAAAATTTTTTTCAAAATAATTTTGTGTATCTAACACATAAACTATAAAATATCTTTGTAAATAAAAATGTAACAAAAGTAAAAATATTTAACACAAAAATTATTTGTGAATTTTGTAATGGCATATTATTTAAGTAATTTGTCCTACTGAAAAATTTTGATGGTCTAACAAAATTATTTTCAAATCCGTATCTAGCTAAATTGTTTGATAGTTCAACAAAATCGTTTTCTCTGTGTCTATATATTCGATTACACCTTGTGTTTGCCGGTTAATATTAAGTTGTGATGTATACGTTACACACTTGTTATATTATTACTTGAAATTTTGAACAGATTATTATTTAGATCTGGCATTTGATCGAAATATATCTACCGCAGATATTTTAGCGAAGTATACCTATCGTACGCATCTAATAATTTGCACATCATAAGTGCAATTAGTCAATATTGCTAATTTTCTCGTCGTACATTATTACAATTGAATTATAATATATTTGCAACTTTCACACGCGCAATCAGAATCGATGGATCCATTAACATCGATGATCGAGAGAAAGAGGGGAGGGGGAGAGAGAGAGAGAGAGAAAGCGAATTCGCGGTATTATTTTAAAATGTCAGATATGGAAATTAAACTAGAGGAGTAAAATTCTCATTGGTCATTTATCTTCTATTTATGCGTATTGTATAATGAATCTGCAGAATTTGCTATCGAGGATTTAACAATTTCGCAAAACAATGTTCCATAGGAGCAACAATGCTGCACAGTCGCGTGCGGAAAAGTCGAAATAAATTAAGCGAGGACGACATAATTACGATGTGATTATCACTGAATTTTGAATGATTCTTGTTTCCATAGCGTAACAAATTTACACCACTAACTTGGCATACTACATTTTGAAAGCGCACCTTTTTGCATCCTTTCTGCATTCTTTCTCTAACTCTCTTGGAATCTCTGACGAAAATTTATAATCGGCTTTACCGCCGCGAAAATGCTAAACTATAAAGCCGCGTCCTAGTTTACTTCGACTACTATTAAACCGGATAAACATTTTCGCTTTAGTCAAATTTTGGTTTATTATACAGCTTCAACGATGTAGAAAAGCTTTTCGTCGGAATTTAATGTATATCTCTCAATTATGTGTTGACGAGGACAGGTGATAACGATGCTATTATAATTAAAAGTGTTTGCGATTAATCTTTGCGATTTACATAGAAAATTTAAGACTCAGCGTTCGTGCAAGCGTTCTGACAATCTGCAT